GGCATGGCTGGCTGGGGAACTCTGGGAGTTGAAGTCCACTCATCTTAAAGTGGCCATGTTTGGACAACATTGCCTTAGGAAACTTAAGCAGCAGGTGAGCAACACCAATAACCTATTCAAATAAAACCTCAGGCTACAAAATTGCCATCCCTGTTCCATCAATATCATCACTGCTACTGGTTACACATTAAGACCAATGGATATGCATGATATATTTATGTATTATTTATTTTTGTGTTAGAGCATTCTTAAAATGTCAGAGTTTCCTCCTTTCATATCAAAGATTGCCCTCTGTTTATCTCTCACGTTGACCTTACAGTATGAAAAATGCTGATTTTGTCATCTCTTTTACACAGAATATAATATTGATGCCTATTAGCAACAGCACATCTTTACTTTGGATAGTAAAAGCAGAGCATCAACACAAATTATTTTGTGGATGTTTCTATGGCTTGTACAAGTCCAAAACCTAAGTTACCAAAAGCAACCACAACAAACAAAGAACAGATTTCACATAAACATGTAACAGAACATTCTATAATTGGCATCTTTTCTAGTTAAAAAAGTGAATGATATTAAAAACTGGAAGGAGTTCCTGATTACAGAATCAAATAATTCTTCTGTTGCTATTTCATAATTATAAGGACTTGCATTGGATGTAATTTTAATATCAGTTGCTTGTGTAATTCTTTTTTGCATGTTATCTCTACTCCATTGTTTAATTATACTTTCCATGATCTCTCTGTCATCTAGATCAGAAGTCTCAAAGTTGCAACCCGCTGACCACATGTGACACTCCTGTTCATTTACTGAGGCCTGCAGTGGTGCTTGGGAAGGAGTGGGCCAGAGCCGTGGAGAGGGCCTCACCCGGGCAGGTGGGTCAGAAACTTGCTGATCTTGGCTAGGCACTGGGGTCCTTCCCTAGGATTGTCTCAAGCCCCACACAATTGGCAAACTAAAGAAGCGAGAACCACGTGGATTTCAGAAATGCAAGTCTGAGGTAAAAATATACTCTAAGAGTAAATTCCCACCCAGACTCAGAATGAATTAATTAAGAGGAAATCTTTTCCCACTTCTCTTGCATTTGGGCTCTGTTGCCTCTTTTTACCTAAACTGTCCTCCTTCCCACAGTCTTTCACCAATTGTGAGGGTGTGGCTCCATGCCCAGATGGGGCAGTCTGCAAGTTGGCTATGCTCCTAGCCCTGCACCTGTATACTGTCATGGCTGAACATGAAGCCACTGCAGCTTCTCCTTGCTGCAGCTTTGGGATGTGGGGCATAGACTCTACAGTCAGGTGGGACATGCCAACTGCATTCCTGGCTTTGCACCGTGGTGCCATTGTGGCCAGTAGCTCTGTTTCCCAGGGTTTTTTTTAAAATCAGTGTGTTGGTGGCATGCCGCAAAGTTCTTCACTTTTGGCTTGTTGAGACTTTTGAGTTGGGGGGGG